AGAGAGAGACAATAGTTTTTTTTTTATGAAAATGAAAGACGATTTTCTTATAGTGAATAAATATTTAATTGAATTATATGTATATTGTCCATTCTGGTCCAATACCTTTTGCCATCTTTCTGGCAGTAGCATGATTCCACGCTCATAAAATTTTTGTTCTTTGCTGGCAAAAAACTGATCCAGGTGATTTTTGACTTCCTCATTTGAAGTAAAGGTTTTACCGTCTAAAAAATTTTGTAGAGACCGGAACAAATAATAATCAGAAGGTGCCAGATCTGGAGAATATGGTGGGTGTGGCAGTATATCCCATCCAAGCTGTAAAAACTTTTGGCGAGTTACCAAACTTGTATGAGATCTCGCACTATCTTGGTGGAACACTATACCTTTTCTATTGATCAATTCTGATCTTTTCTGTTTAAGTGAATCATTCAATTTGTCCAGCTGATAACAGTACACTTCAGAATTGATCATTGTGTTGTCCGGTAGAAGCTAAAAAAAAACGATTCCTTTGAAATCCCACCAAACAGATAGCATCACCTTTTTTTGATGAATATCGGCTTTCGAAGTGCTTTGAGCAGGTTCATCTTTTTTATCCATGATCTCTTGCGTTTAACATTGTTGTAGACAACCCATTTCTCGTCCCCAGTGATGATGCGCTTCAAAAATGGATCATTTTCTTGACGTTTGAGAAGCAAATCACAGACGTCAATGCGACGGCACAAATTTCTTTCCGAAAGAACATGAGGAACCCATATGTCGAGCTTTGAGATTAAACCTAGGCGTTTCAAATGATCATGAACGGTCGAATTCGATAAATTTAATCTCTCAGCGATCTCACGAGTTGTTATTCGCCGGTTTGCATCAATTAATGCCTTTATTGTGTCTTCATCAGCTTCAACTGGCCTTCCAGAACGTGGTGCATCTTCAACATCAAAATTGCCGGATCGAAATTTTGCAAACCAGTTTTGGCACTGGCGTTCTGTCAATACATCTTCTCCATACACATCGGATAATTTTTTTTTTGCTTGAACAGCATTTTTACCTTTTCGATAGTAAAAAAGTAAAATATGCCGAAAATGCTGCTTTTCACTTTCCATATTTGATAGGGCACCAACCAAAAACTACTGCGTAGAATCAATGGAACTTTTTTCAGAAGCAAGCCTTGCTATATCAGCTGTCAAAATATATAATGATTATGCGGCTTAAGTGTGAAGTTGGCTGTGAAAAAATATAATTAAGTCCTCTGTTGGGAAAAAACGAAATTACTTTCCGAACAATCCAATACTTTAAATCGCGAATTTTGGGATACCCTATACAGTCTCTGCAAAAAAATTACTGAAATTATTATATTATACTTTCCATATAGAAATAAAGATTATACTTATATGTATGAAACAGTTTAAAATAAGATTAATATTTATACTTAACACACTATAGTATAATTTCTGTTAAAATAAAAATTTTTTCAAAGTAAAAATTCGCTCGTATTAGCAAATTATACTAAAATTCGGTCAATGATCGAGCTCATAAAAAGATATCAAAATAAATATTTAATTCACAACAAAAATATTTAATAAAAATCTACAGTAAGTTTTGTGACCACATCTCAAATTAGAAATTTTTGCGCTTATACCTTGTGTTGAATTTCTTGATTTTAATATAATCTTTTCAAAAAAAAATTTTTACATTACGGACTTTGGATTGTTCACGATTTCGGCTTGAATATTTGATCAACTGATTGAAAGAAAAATACACAATAATGGTCTTCTTATATCTAAAACAGAGCACATTTAATTTTTTTAAAGCGCACGTTTAATTATGCATCTGTATGTAAAATTATTCACAATTTATAGCTTTTTTAATCATTGTTTTGTAATCATAAATCTTGATCCTTTATCAATTTTAACTCACAATTACATTAATAATCATGTCAAGATAGATTGTCCGACTTTATTTATATTTTATATTTAATATTTTAATCTTGTTGAAAAAAGACCTGTAACTACAAAAAGTATTAGAAATTTTTATTAAATGTTTTTATTAAAAATTAAAGATTTATTTTTATATATTTTTTTATGAGTTCGATCATTGACCGAATTTTAGTATAAAATTTTTTTATTTTATCGTAATTATTTTCTAAAAACATATTTACTTATAATTGAAATAATTTTTTATTCATGTTCTAAATCACCAAACTTTTTATATTAGATACTATCACATAATATAAGAAAATTTGTATTATATTAGTTTCATAACTTTTTCATTTTGTTAAAAAATACATATAATACATCCCAAACAATATAAAATATTAAAAATATTAGAAGAATATTAGAATAGGAAGTGTTAGGTATGCAAAAAATATTCTGATTTTGATAATTTTATAGATATGATTTAAAAATTTTTTATCTTCCTGTTAAATATTAGTAAAAAGTCATCGCGTATTTTTAAAAGACATCTATCAGTAAAAACCGCAATTACTTTCTTACCAACAATATAAATATATCTTAATAGAGTAAAGTTTCAGTTTTAAAAATCTCTTTTTTAAATTATACGATACGACAATTTTTAATGGAGTTATGAGCAATTAAAGTCAAAATAATTCTTTTATTTAATCCGCGATAACTCAGTAATCAAAAGTCGTAGGAATATTAAAAAAAAACGATTTTGTAGGGAAAGTATCAAGCTTTCACGATAGGTAATCGAAAATTTTCTCAAATTCGTTTTGGACACGTTACAAATCCACAAAGTGAGAAGAAAATTTTTCGTCTTTTTCAGTTCGTAGTTTTTGGTATGTAAAAATTATCAAACTCATATAAACTTAAAAAATGTGATAAGCTTTTAAAAGTAGAGATTTCAAGCTTTAAAACCCTTTTTTTAAATTTGAATTTCATTCATTATTGACGAAGATATTGTATATACAACTTTGAGCTAAAAAATACGCGATGACTTTTTACTACACCTAATATTTGATATGTCAATTTTTTATTGTATTTAATATTACATCTATTAAGAAATGGCCTTTATTGATTACTTAGTAAGTACTTAGCAAAGTACAAGGTAGTTGCATAAGTTATTTAATGACATGACTCTATCATCAGACATGACTCTATCACATTGATGTATTAATACAACGCGTTAAACAAATTAAATGCAGAAATTTATAAAGAAATATAAAAAGAAATGTTTCTAATATAATTAAAAATAAATAGCATAGTGTCAAGTTTACTTGTTAAATTGTAATACTCTTGTAACAAGTTTACTTGTTAAATTGTAATACTAATAATTTTTAATAAAAATAACGTAGATTTTTTTACGCTACTTAATTATAGTTCATTTTTTCTATAGAATTGGAGAAAACAGAAGAATAAATTAAATTAAAATATTCTAAATTGTACTTTTTATTAAAATTGTTTGATTAAGATTATTTCTGTCTACAAGATTTCTAATGCACTTTTTTAAAAACAAGTGTACAACATGTTAACTGTCAACATAAAAAACATTGCACAAAAAATGACAAGTTTAATGATCATGAGGGTATCGTGGAATTCTTTTCGAGGACAGACGTTTTTATCAGCTCAGAGATTACCGTGCGCTAACCGGACTAAGAATAAAAAAAAAGGTGAGATTTTGCTAATATATTGAAAAAAACGTCACAGCACCAATTTTATTCTTGACATTTACAACAATTTTTAACGTTAATAAATTTCATTTGGATATTTTTACAACCTTTAACGTCCCCTTGTATCTTATTTTGAAGAGGAAAAATGTTACATTTTGTACATCATGTAACTCTTTTACTTATTTTTTTAAAGATATTTTTTTTTAAAAAGACAATACAGCTACTACAAAATGTTTAAATCTTCAATATTATTATTGTTTGTTCAAACTAACAGAAGTAAATATTAAAAATTACTTATATGGTCTTATAGAAGAAAGCAATATTTTATGTAACAGCAAGAAACTCACACAAGGTCAAAAGTAAAGTTGTATGTTTTTTAAAATTAAAAATAAAAAAAATTTCAATAAAGTACATCACTAATTGGCCAATTTAAAATAACATATTCTCTCATTAGTAAAGCAGTGGAAAATTATTAGGTACCGATATGAATGAATGTGCACTAACGAGATTCTCTTAAAATAAAATAATTAATAAAAAATTTCGGGAGAGTCTGAATCCTTAAATCCCTCCTCCCCTCCCCCTGGATACGCTCATGCTAACGATTACAATAAAACAATGAGAATAAGATTGTGCTTACAGTCAATAAAAGATTGACATTATTTAAAACACATTGATGGTATCACAGTGATTGTTCCAATTCTTTATTTCAATAAAGATTTTACACAACTTCTTTAAAAGAAGATGTCCATGGTATAGAAGGATTTCTACCTTAGAGATGGAATCTCTAAAACCCATAAATTCATTTAGAGTATGATGAAATCTATTGCCTAATACTAAATTTCACTTTTTTATTGGCAAGGAAAGTTGAAGATATCAACAATATAATATTATAGGATCATATATGTGTGATAATACAAACTATAGAGATCAAAACAATAAACGGTCTAGCTGAATCTTAATGTTTGTATGATTCTTATGTGAATTTATATACGTATGCAGTCCCCAGAAACGCGCGCCGAATGATTTTTTGATCTTGAAATGCTAACTCTACTAAACTATCGCAGTAATATCATGAGTCAAATTGACTAGCAATTTAACAAATTTTACTTATTCGCACCTTTAAAACAATCTTAATAATATTGAATGACATATTAAAATCTGTAAATAATTAATTCTTATTGCAAAAAATATTATCTCGGCCGGGAGTCGAACCTGGATCTCTTGCATTCCGTTCACGGAATGCAGCCTCGGTAGTCTAAAGGCTTAGGACACTCGTACGGAATGCAAGAGATCCAAATTCGATTAAGAGTGGAGAGGGAATACCGCTGGCGTGCCTGGGCCCCGGGATGCTCATTTTTTGGGTGATAGATTTCATCATACTCTAAATTTATGGGTTTCCATCCAGAGGTTCCATCTCTAAGACAGAAATTCTCCTATACACGTGGGCAACCTTCTTTATGATTATCGTTATTAAACGCAAAAAGAGAAATAATTAAATTACTAATAAACATAAATTAAACATATATAAATTTTTTTATTAGAGATGTATCGGATATCCGGGAAGTATTTGGATCTGATCTTATTCTTTTTTACTGTCCGGCCATCGGCTATCGCTGCGCCGGATAGCTGGATATCAGTAATATCCAGTAATATATCCAGTTGAAATTTTATATTGTTGAAAGCCTGTGTTATTTTAATGCAGAATTCTATTCTTATTAGCTGAATTTCTTACACAATTCATTTTTTTTCTTTTTTTAGTTTATGTAATCTAGTCGTTTATCATAAACGACTAGATTACATAAACTATTCAATCTAATAATGTAAAAACAATTTTGCAATTGAAGTTTAAAAATACATATCATTATTTACATTCAACTAGAATTATGATTTTTAATCTCTAACATTTTACCTATTTTCATTGAAGATGAGTTTTTCAAGTATCAGGATTTTTTATAAATAATTCTAATTTTTTTAGCAAAGGTATATAATTAATAAAAAATTGTCAATAGAAAATTTGACTGTATGATTAAAAACTAAAAAGATTAAATTAATAAAATCTCAAATAAGACAAAAAAAAGTTAAACAACTAGAAACTATTCAATCTAGTAATGTAAAAGCGATTTCTTCTTTTTCTTTTCATGTTGGAAAGATAAAGAAAATTATTATCGTTATTTTTTCCTTGCTTTTCTTTTTCCTTTCTTTCTTTAAATAGAATAGAGAAATTGTATTGAATATCCGGAAAAAATATAAAATCCAGTCAGATAATTGATCTACCCGGTGTTACATTCTTTCCGGATATCCGATGTTCGAAATTTTATAATATCCAATACTTCATTAATTTTTATCGATAAAATTATATATTTTTAGACTAATTCAGTAACAAAATATTGTTCGATTAATACAAAATCTCTTCTCGTCACTTAAATTTCAATTCTTTTATTATTGACTCTTAATCGACAGTTGATAGCTTTGCAGAATAATGTCAGTGCGGAAATATACTTATCGATGCACAGTAAATATCACGCTTTTCTTTACAGATTTATGATAAAAAATATTTATTATATAAAAACAAAATGTAATTCTGTTTCTATATTTTGTATTTGTGAATAAAAATTAAATAAAAATATTATAAAATTTGTGTAGTCTTTATTGATGCAATTTTTATAATGACGCAATATAAAATATTAATTATCAAATTTTTATTTTCTTTATATTTTTTAATGTCATTACAATTTTAATGTAAAGTAACTTATAAACTTTAGAAATTATAATATTTAAATTAATTACAATCATGTTTTAGATAGCCCAGTAAAAAATTTTTCATGTATGAATATGTATGAATATGTATAAATATATATATTAATATTCATAAACATGTATAATTATTTAAATATGTCTATACATGTTTATATGTTCTCCTTTTTTTTATAAAATTACTTTTTAATAATAAAATGTGTAATAGAAATAATAATAGTAATGTGAGAACATTAAAAGGGTAATTTTCACACTAGCATATTTGTTTAAAAAAAAATCAAGTTTGAAGAAACGTAAAAAAATTACTTACGTATAATGATATATAAAATTATACATAATTGTGTATGAGCAACTTTTTTTATATTTTTCCAAACATGTTTTTTTCTAAAACAAACAATGAAAAAATTATTCTTTTAATTATTTTTTATGTTTTCACATTACTATTATTATTTCCATTACACACAAAAGTAATTTTACATTAGAAAAAAGGATAAACATATATAGACATATTTCATATATAATTATACATGTTTATGAATATTTATATACGTTTATACATATTCATGCATAAAATATTTTCTATATTGCACCTTTTTTTACGAATAAGAAAAGACAATATTTAGTCCTATATCGTTCTATAAAAACTTAATATTTTTATCTAAATGAATTTATTTTAGAAATATGATTGCGCCTTGTTTAGCAATTGTTTCTTTTGATTGGTGCATGCAAGAAAATAAGCTATAAAATAATACATAATAAACATAAAAATCATATGCAGCATGCAGCGCTCAATGAACGAATTCCAGCATACATCAGAGCAGCACAACTGTATACATGTTATTCAAGGAATCGAGCATCGTGTGATTCCACCTTTATTACTCGGATTTTCAACATAATCTAAAGCATTAAAATCTGATTATAATGGCGTGCAATCATATTTCTAAAATAAATTCATTTAAATAAGAGTACGTATATGTATTAGTTCAACATATAACTATCAAGTGGCGCTTTATATTTAAATAATATACTCACATAAAACGATCTTAATTTCAATCTTATTATTGTTGATATTTTTAATTTATAAATATAATTTATTTAAAGAATCGAATGGTACATTTAATTTAACAAACACTATTTTATTAAATTTGTTGTATCTCATGCAATACAACAACAATATTATAATAATATAATAACAAATTATAGAAAATAGATTCTTTGCAATTATAAATAACCTATATTGCTAAAAATAACAATATTATTTTTAATATTATATAATGATATTATTTCGAATAAATTTATTTTAAATCTCTTTTATTCCTTTGATAAGGCTAAATAATTTTTTTATATATGTCATACAATGTAATTATTATTATTATAAAGCCACTAAAATAAATCCTATTATATTTTTAATATGTATATATATTTATATACGTACATTTCTTATGCTATTAAAAACAATGAATAATTATTCTTTAAAACTTTAAATGAATCACAAACATAGACGAAAATTTTCTTATGGAGAATATAGAACTTTCAACATCCTCCAGAGTTCCTGTGTGTGTTGAATTCCACACCCCGAATTTGGGGTATTATATGTTAATGTTTTATAAATTTAAAAAATTTTTGAGTAATTTGACAAAAAATCAGTACTTGACCCGAGTAACACAATTTGTTGGCAAAACATTAGTTAAACATTGGCATACATTGGAAATATAGTGAGCCAATGTTGCCAATAAATTGTGCTACTAGAATACGGTATATATGTATAGAAATATATTTCATACAAAGAGATAAAATGTTTATTTTAAATACTCCCCCCCCCCCCCA